ATTGGAGAACCAAGTGAGTTCATATATCCATTTATCTTCTCGTTGAACGGAGATTCTTCTTACACATGTTTTAATGTTTTCCGAAATGAAATGATTACTTCGGCTGGATTCTAATGGTGCTTATCGCAAAGCCTGGTTTAAAGATATATCACTTACCTCAATATTTTGCATTTTTAATTTTAATTTGAAATACTAATGTATTCATTTATTTACGCATGATGTTGTAAACGATTTGTGTTTCTACTGTGTGCCACCAGAGAAAAAAGGCTGAATTTCGACACACTGTAATAGCGGAAAAATTGCAGCTAACGGAAGGCCAATCCGTGCCTTGATTGTAGTTTAATTTAAGTCGCCGAGACAAGACAGATGCCAAATGACTAACAGCAGCTACTTTCCCGTGCGAAGATATGTTTCCGCCCCTTGGATCCTCTTCTTTCTTAACCACCATCCTCGTCATAGCCACTTCTTTGGCTACCCTTCCGAAGGATTCACGGCAAACGGCGTATTCGACGGAAGAACGTTTGGCAGTTAGACAGAAGCCTGGCTGCATGTGCTACTATGTGGCGCCCGAGAAAGAAAAATCGGAAAATTCGATCGCCTGTATACCGCAAACATGGCATCTATCGACAAGCTTATCGGTATAAGGGTGAAGGTCACTGTTCTGGTGCAGTTGGGGGTTACGTTATGGTGTACGGCTATGATGAAGGTTACTGTGAGAGTGGGGCTTAGCGTTTGGTTAAGATATAGAGCGGAATATTTATTTATCTGTCCTTTAGTGTTGTCACCTCAAGCACTAACTGAGGAGGAGGGTGGATCTTTTATCGCTTGCAGTTTTGGTGGCCATAGATGCGACCACGACGGCCAAATGCTCAATTTAAACGCTGTACTCCAAGAGAAGATAACCTTTAGATCTGTAGACTATGCCGATCCTGGCCGCTGTAGTTCCCTCCAATAACATTTGAGAATCGAATTCGGCTTCGTGTTTGCATTTGCTCCGGATTAAGTGCATGCATCCGTTAAACTGCAGTCGTCTTTCAGTTTTGTGAAATAATGCAGTGAATGACCGACCTAATTTTGACATACCCTGTGGTCGTATGACCCCATACACTTGGCTCTAAAACTTCTAGATGACAAGACGTTTTTAGCATTCCATGCTGTATGGTTCACAAGCATCTCACACTGGTTACAACACCGATTTTAGATGTACTCGGTGAAATATGTTGTTGTAAACGCGGGGCAGCTATTTAGAATGGAGGGTGCAGTTTGGTGTTCAGGAGAAAACCGTTTTCTTAGATTGCATTTAGGAATTTTATAATAGAATCTGTTGGTCTCTTGGAGTCCGAGCAGACACTCAATAGGAAGCCTGGCATGTGCGGACACGGGCATTGGAAGTCAGTCTCTCCGCTTTCAACACAGGACGCGCGGGCCACGGCAGAACGTATTATTAATGTCATCGAAACGGAGAATTATTTGACGCTTAAGTTGCTGACGCGGTGAACACTGTTCTGAGTAGTAGAAGGTAAATGGTCTTTCGACGTTCAGCGATGTAGAATGCTAGGCATGATTAGCACCGCATGAGGTCGCAGTGGATGTCCGAGAGGGCTATTTAGTCTTGTTATTCTGTCCTTGTACCTCTGATTCGGTACACATGCCTGATAAAAATGTGCAGAAGGCAACCCCATATTTGGGCACTTCGTTGGACACAGTATTTGGCGCACCGATTGAGTCACAGGAACGAAATCTACGGCAGCCTGTAATTAATCCCAACTTGCTTATCAATTGCATACTCCAAACATCGTAAGCAATATGAGGAAATACTGCTTCAGTAGATAAGAAAACTGGAGCGTTTGCCTCAAATTGGTGCTGATTGCGAGCTTAACAGTATCAAGTACTATTGCGTCTAGTTAATGTGTACCTGTTACTCGATTTGAAAATATTTTCCTTATGTAAGCATCTCAGATACAAATATTCTTTATCGCAGAAACGGACTAATGCACTGTTACTATATCGTTTTGTAATAGACTGGGTGGCGACTGAAATATCTATCATCTTTCTTGTTCCTTAAGTCTCCTACCTGGATCGTTCCATGTCAGACCGTAGAGGAGGAAGGGTGCATGATATTAGGTCTTTAGAAGCTGTTGGTCTTTTGGAGTCCGAGCAGGCGCTTAATGTAAAGCATGACATGTGCGCAGACTGGCACTGGAAGTCAGCCTTTCCGCTATTAACACCGGACGCGAGGGCCACCGCAGAACGTATTGTCAATGTCATGGAAGCGGAGACTTATTTGACGCGTAGTTGAACTGAAGTTATTCTGCAACCTTAAACGATGTAGAATGTTAAGCATGATAGGCGCCGCAAGACGTCGCACCGGATGTCCGAAACGGCCTTTGCTTCTAGTTAATCTGTTCTCATAGTTCGGGTTGAAGAGATTTTGTTTCCCTCAAAATGCCTGATGCAAGCTTTCCTCCTCATAGAAACCGGACTGCGTCATTTTGCAACAGCTTGGGTGGCGAATGAAAAATCTGTCCTCTTCTTCGTTCTCTATGATCCTTCAGCGCAGCCATTGCACCGACTGAGATATGAATGTGTTCCTCATCCCTGCATCTTTCCATTTCAGACCAAAGAGCAGGGAAGGGGCACCGAAGTATGTCACAAAGTACCAGACGATCAGGCGGAAAACTCACTTTGTGGCAATTTGATGGGGGCAGTTTTCGGCGCACCAATTGAGTTCCAGGAACAAAGTCTTCGGCAGCCTGTAAGTAATCTCAACTTGCTTATCAATTGCATACTCCAAACATCGTAAGCAATGAGATGATATGCTGATTGCAAGCCTCACATTATCAACTGGTACCGTATTTTAGGGCGTTCCGCATGTCTTGGTGGTATTGATTCAGAAACTAGAAGCCCTCAGAATTAGCTCTGCTGGCCTGTACAGCGATTCACCGATGTCCCTCAGCCTATATACAAAAATGCACCTGATCAACACTGTGAGTTAATATGACACTTGATATCCCCTTTCTCGAGTCCTGCTTAACTGTATTACACTGGCATCCTTTCAAAATGATCTATACAGTTAATTGAACAAATTTTAGTACCCTATCGACGACCTCATCAGGATGCGTCCAGACATTTTTAAGGACCCTGGCGACCTAGCGGTTTTGATCCTTCGCTACGTTGAGCTTCCGCCCCGGAGACTCATTGAGGGCATCGGTAAGTGATTATCTCCTGTCATCAGTTAACTTTATTTACTACAAGCTTTCAAAAGCAAAGTGTTAGTAGTCTGCTTGGCTTCCTCGCTAAAGAAAGCCTACTCTCCTTGCTCGTTGTAATAACGGCGTATGTTTAGTCTATCGAGGCTTGGTTAATGCTACTAAGGTTTAATCTTCACGGCTGCGATCTTCCGGCCAGGTTCCTTAGGAGAGGGGAGAAGTCTCGGGAAAGCTAGATTCTTAGGAAGATATTATTCTGTACAGATGGAAAATAGAATAGACAGCAGAAGATTAACTACCAGAGGACCACACAACCGCAAGCCAACAGATGGCATCTGATGGGATGTCTGATCTGCATTCTGCACATGAGGTTCCGTGGGATTCCGCCTGTTATTGGCTGTTACAGAGGCCGGAAGCAGCAAACTTTCCAAAAGTGCACTCCGACTTCAGCTAGTCACTGCAAGTCTGTTTGCTAAATGTACATCTCTTTGTTTAAATTCGCAGAAGTCTGGAGGTCGTCGCTGGTACCATTGGCAAAAGACGGTTGTATCCCTGATACAACGGTGAACCTTGACCTGGAGTATAGACAGGACGCAACTTGCCTGGTAAGTTGTAAAAAATCTGCTTGCATGCTTGTATATCTGTGCTTCATTTTAACATCAAAAGCAAAACATGTATTTTTCGATCTCTCTAGTGCTTTACAGATTTTCGACGCTCCGGCAACCTCGTTACAGTTCAAGGCATAATCGGCGACAACATCAGTGCCCTCGGCCACCTCTTCCGTCATTTCCACAGGGTCTGGGAAGCGTTAGCCGACCAGTGCTCCCCAGAGGAGGTGGTCCGCCTGTTTAGTCTCCTGTCTCGTACGGTGTGTGGGCAAACGGAGAAGGAAGTTGTGCAGGTAAGATCATTTTGCGGCTACTAGTGCGGATCTATCTTCAAACAGGTCTTGTTTCACCTCCCCTAATCCTCTTACCTACTTACAGGTGATTTTCGATTTCATCAATGACTGGCCCCATCTCAGGCAGAATATTATTGAGGGTCTGCAAGACGTCCTGCTGGCGGCGACTCTGGATCCATGAGGTGA